TTCCTTCCTTCCTTCCTTCCTTCCTTCCTTCCTTCCTAACCTAACTTCCTATTTTTTTCCTTTCCTTCCTTCCCCCGTTTTTCCTTTTCCTTTTCCTTCCCTTCCGGAATTTTTAAGGAATTTTTAAAGGTAAGACTTTAACTTTTTCCAATTATTCGCGGCCACCAATTTACCTTTAACAGCGAACTGTACTTCACGGGCGACGTTGTCAGCCGCTTACACGAATGTCCCTCCCTCGCTTTGCAGGAATTGATTGTCTGCGTCGTCTTCGTCGCTGTCGTTGTTAAGAGCTTCCCCAGGATGTACGAGGAAAATGCGATGGGTGAGTCTCTTTCGCTTAATTCATGGAATCGGTCACTCGAGGAGGCAATTACGCGTGTTCGTGAAAGGTGCATCGATCCACGCGCGTTTATCCTGATATCTTCGCGAGTTAAAAATAACAGCTTAAATTCTGATGAAGTAGCAACATTTGCACCGAATATTTGAAAAATTTGAGAACGTAATAGTTTGATATGAAATCAATCATAGAGGAAGACAACGACGAGGAAGAGACTGAAGATATAGATCGCCACGGACATCATCATGATGGTCATCATTATGCGTATTCGTATCATCATTTTCTGGGACCAGTGATAGGCCATCACGAAGAGATAACCTGGAAAGATAAGCACGGGCATCATCATCATGACTACAAGGCTCATCCTAAATACAAATACTCGTACAGCGTAGACGATCACCATACTAAGGACTATCACGGGCAGAAGGAACATCGTGACGGTGAGTCAGTATATGAAAATATACTTTCAACACCATAATGCCTTTTACTTCCGATATTCTCTACCTAAGATTTTAGCGTCTATAACTTTAATATACATTTATATATTTCATTGATATTATTCTGGTACGCTGTATAAAAATTGACAGTTTTTTTATAAATAAAAATCTTGATTCTATCACTGTCAATAGTTGCGCCTGATTCTATCACTGTCAATAGTTGCGCCTGATATTTTTAATATTAATATATAAAAAACGACTGTCAATACCATTAATAATATTAATTTGAAAACCGATACTCTTTCTCTTTAATATTACGTACATGTAGCATCAATCTCCCCTATTGACAAAATATCGACATAGCAACTCTAGATGTATCGCGCAATACTAATCTAGACCCAACGAGGCAGCGAAACGCAACTCGATCTCACGCTCTTAATTAGAGTCTCGAAGTAATTGGATATCTGGCCCTGCTCTTAATTAGAACCTAGGAAGGACTAAATTCGTTTCTTGCTCCGGTGTTGTTGCGACTCGTTGGATACATCCGCCACTTTTCCGACGCGCTTCTTGCAAAAAAATGCGAGAGCCTCCTCGCGTTCGCTCGTATCTAGCGTGCGCCTGTTAAATTTAATTGTGACTGATACGTGGGAGGGGATAGGAGTTTATTACGCTTTCGTTGGAAAGCTCTCTGGCAAAGCCGGCGAATGAAATGCATGGAGCTTACGGCGAAGCTCTTCCGATACGACGTACTTGGAAAACGTGTAACTGCCTGCGTAAACGCGAATTTAATTGGAATGTATGGAGAAATATACGAGTTTCTATTATATCTTCATTCAATCTAGATTCTTATCTCTACTTCGCGTATATGTAGCATAACAAGATTATATTAGTTCAATAAATACTATAGAAAGAGCATTGAATTATACAGAATAAATTTTTAATTTTCTGTCAACACAAAAAGTAATTTATATATTTTTAATTAATCGACAAATTATTTCCAAAATTATTAATATAATATTTAAAAATGTATTTAAATTTTACATTAAATTTTACTTAAAATCCAGATTTCGATATTGAGTCGTTGTGATTTTTTTATAAAAAAAAATAATTAAATAGACATGTCAATTGTTCTTATTAAATATCATTGTTTCAAATATATGTAAATGTTGATTATCTTATTTATAAAATAAATTATAGGTAAACATGTGGAAGGCGAATATCATATCCATGAGCCTGGTGGCAATGTTAGAAGCGTTAAATATCATGCTGGTCCTCACGGTGGATTTTATGCCGAAGTTCATAACAATGGCGGAAACGACCATTCGGGTGGTCATAAGCATCGATAGTCGAAAGATGTAATAAATATAATTAGTGAAAAAAATAATTACTAAAAAACGTAAGAGTGATTAACGAGGACAACGTAACTGTGCCTGCATTCTGTACAAACTCGATCATAGCCAATATATTGTTTATTTTTATGAAATATATATTGTTGAAATAATATTTTTATAATTGTTAAATATTTCACTTCTTTGTAATTGAGATATATTATATGTATTAATAAAAATGTTATTATATTTTATGTATATTAATTCTGTATAAAAATTTTATTTCAAATTTAATTTTAATTCTTACTAATACCAAGTATTATATGAATTATCTATCAAAAAATTCTTTAAGGAAAAGAAAACAGATCTAGGGTTTATAAAAAAAATTGAATTATTAAAATATATACTCTAATGATACAGTTTCTTCTCTCTCTCTCTCTCTCTCTCTCTCTCTCTCTCTCTCTCTCTCTCTCTCTCTCTCTCTCTCTTCTTTCTACATCAAGGTTATATTAATATAGAAATATGAGAAGATCCACTCCTTAATTTTCGAAATAGATCCTCCTTTGGAATTCATTCGTGGTCTTACCGCAATCGCGTGATCTCGTTTCATCAAAATGAGCGGGGGCTGCTTGCTCGGTTTCTGCTGACCGAATGCAGCGAGTTGGCCGATCTCTCTCATCAGCACGCCGCAACATGTTTTTATCCAATCACGTTTCCGCGTATCCTCGACCTCTCGAGTCAGCAACGCGATGGACTGACCGTTCGATGCCGTCGAAAAGCGGAGGAAGCGCAAAATTCACCGCGGTAGGAAAACGATGAAGGCGAGGGCGAGGGTGAAAGGAGAAATTTCGTGCCCTCTCGTTGAACAATCGCGGCGAACGGGATTGGTCGTTCCATAAGGAGATCGGTTGGCCATTGTGTTACTGACCCGGGCCCTGCCAATTTTGTTGCCAATTTCGTCGCCAATTTCGTTGCCAATCTCGCCGGTTTTTAACACGGATAATCGCATTGCGCAAACGCTTCGACAATTTCTATTAAGTTCTCTTAGCGGAGACTACAGTTGTATAGAGATGTACCTGTGTTAAGATAGGACCACTGAATTTCCACGAACCAGAGCTGACTAGTGGAACATTTTACAACATTTCCGAGCTTATAATTCTTATTCTCGGTTTCAACTGGTTAGATTGTTACAGCTATCATAATAAAAAAATGAGCTAACATCGAGAGCAATTATATTGTTGAAGTTATCTCTCTTCTTTCCAATTATATAATAATTTTATAACAACAAAAAATAAGGATTTTGAAACCATGTTCAGAAATTATAACAATTATTCTAGCTTTTAGCTGTCATAAAAGTAATTACACATGCAAAAATAAACTATCTTAAAAGAAATAAATTTCAATATAATTTTACATATCGAAATCGACGTTACTGAGTATATTTGTTACTTTTGTATACGTCACCAAGTTTATACGTCACGATATCTTTCAAATCAGACTCGCTCATGCATTGCCAATCGTGACAATCACGTAAAGACTTATTAGCATAATTGACGTTCCTTTAGTGCTGCACCATTCGAGAAATATGATTTTAATTTGAATATCGCGGTAGCTCATCAAGCACAGCAATTTGACTAAGAATCACGAGTGCCATACTGGTCTTTACATGTCGCCGTATTCTCTTTGAACCTTCGCTAACATAGAATGGAGCATCTTAATGACGTGGTTCACGCTGCCACTATATATATTCTTGCACATATGTTACCCCCTTCGGGCGGTTATGCTTGTAAATTTTCAAGTTTTAAAAAAACAAAGAAATAAAGAAAAATTTATTGGTACATTAAAATTTAATATATCATGAGATTATTTAAAAAATTATAACATGTAATTATTTTCATAAAAATCTAATTTTCTTTATCTCTTTAAGATGAATAGAATACATCAAGAACTTATTTTGGAATATTAGACTTAGATATTTATTCGACACTCGAATTCCACAGAGAACAGAAATAAACTGATAAAGAGAAGGCAGATAGAGGAAAATGACAGTACATTTCAACGGATGATAACGTCACGTAGACAAAGATCAGATACAATGTAATCTGTCTTGGAGACGCTAATCTGCGTATGAGACTGATATCATCTAGTTAGCTTAGATAACGCCATGCCACCACATGCCGATTACTCTGGTTGTGTGAGATGTCACGGAAGATGTTGCTTCTGATTGTCGATATTGTCACGCAGGTATAAGTGTGATGTCGAATTCGCGTGACGTCGCGATGAGGAAAATATAATTACTGTTTCATTTGGAACTATCTTGCGCGTCGATTAGAGTGCATCATCTCTCCCACGTGCCTTGACAGCGAATAGATACCTCCGTGTCCGATAACTCACTGTCTCGTACAAAGCCGCTGTAATGCGGCAAACATATTGCTTGTGGTCTCTTACTGTTGTGTGATCACTAATCCATTGCAAGATCCGTGTTATCTATACACTGCTAATTAGAACGTAAGTAAGTTAAGACTGCTTAATCACACGACGTGCTGTCACTATTGACAGAAGCACAAAGAAACTTTATTTTTGACGCGAAAATGCAGAGAAAGATCAGACGTGTAAATATAGCGTTATTTTTCGTTTCAATTTAATATGTTTGCGATAAGTAATTTCGTGCTTTAGACCAGACTTTGCCGCTTGAAATTGAGCACCCGACCGTGTGTAGCGTTAAGTAAACCTGTTGTTTTCGCTTTCTCGCTCGCGACAATCCAGACGCGAATTAAACGCAATTGTTCGTAACTGTCACCATTCGTTTGCTGTTTGATTAATCAAGCACGAGCATCGTGTTCAATCAGTGGGGTAGCAGTATAAAGCAACAGATTAGATTATGTGCGAAGGGAATGCAGGCCGGATATCATTAATGCGGCGCGATGTGCTCTTCCATGTATAATACTAATGCGCGCATAGCAGCGTTCAACGGGTCGATACAAATTGTTACTAAAGCAAATGGACGGATTACGAGCTGACTGAGCGAGACAACGCTCTTTCTCTGGCACAAAGATAACTTCGAATGTAATTATTTTTAAGTCCGAAATCTACTCGATGAATACGAGCTTATTCAGAACGTGATATCGCTTCATTCGCGAGAAGCCGCTTTTGCAATTAACGAATCAAGAAAATCGCGCAGATTTGTCAATTTTCATATTATTGACGGTTGAAATATGTCTCCCTTTTGCCGTGATCCACGCACAATCTGATCCATCGATACCAGAGAGCTTAACTTTATTTGGCGCATCGGATATGCCCGCAACACGCGTTCACTTTGCCTTTCCGCCGATGTAGAGAGGCAACGGATGAGAAGGTTAAATCTCTGATATCAAGAGTATCATGAGCTTGAATTTCATCATAGCGCGCATTACACGTGTAACGCATTTGTAGCATAAATAGGTTATTGTTACGCGCGACATGAAATTTTCCGATAATGTAGGTAGTCGTGATCTAGAAGATGACAGCGATTATTAATTAACAACAATTGTTTGCGATAGTTTATTTAGTTTTATCACAGAGACGAATGTCGCAGTAACGACATTTGTTACGTTTTTAAAATTATTGCGATTTATTTTTCAAAAATGTAATTGTATCTAACAACTGATTCTTTTACATAAAGATTGTCATTTGAGTAAATTTTCAAAGCAAATTGTTAAGAGTATCTGTATTTTAAATCAATTAAACGGCCTTTGTACAAAGGATTAATATTTCCTAAAATATATTAATTAATTATTTAATATTATAAATATTTTATTTTTAATATAATATTCCTTTAATATAATATTCCTTTCCATTTTTCCATTTTAAAAATTATAGAACCTAATAATTTAATAAAACAAGAAATAATCTTAAATTTTATGAATTTTTATCGTTATTTAATGTTTCAATATATTTAATTATAAATATTGTTCTTTCATGTTGATATATTCTGATCTGATTTATAGTATTTAAGTTTATTAACATTTTATAAATAAAACGAGTAATAAATAGAAAAAAAAGTAACGCGTAATATCTTACAGGAGAATTATTATTTTGTTATTTCTTTTTAATATTCTTTACATAACGAGTATTAAAAGATTTGAAAAAAGTATAAACTAAATAATTAATAAACGCTACAAACTCAAACCGTTCACGAAGAAATACAATTTTTCAAGTCACGAAATTGTTTTATCTGAAAACTTCAAAAACTGATTCAACTATACTTATGTAAAACAAAACAAAATTAAAAACAAATTAAAAGATTTAGATCTCCCAAAGAAATTAAAGAAACTCGGCGTTTATATCGAGAGAAATTAATTTTCTTCAGGTTTCGAACAGGCTAATGTCCTATTCAATTATTGCCGTCGCGTGCTTCGTGTTCCGTTGCAATCTCCAAAAGTCAACCATTTTCGAGACTTTTGAAAAAAAAGTCTTCCGCGTGCAATCGATAGAGCGAAATCGATTGTTATTTCAACGAGACGGGCATTCACATGCGTGGCGTTTGCCACCAGTGCCGTTTCATCGCAAGAGTGCCCAATCTTATGCATAGGAAAGCGATTGGTTCATGTCGTGTTTTTTGTCACTCGCAGGGACTGTTCTGTACGTCCACTAAATAACAGTGGCGAATTTCTCTCGACAAAAATGAACGCTGCTGCGCGTTATATAAGCTTTCGTCGGTATCGACAAAAGTATCCATTCGCATTTTAGAAATCGGTGTGAATATTTGAAATCATGAACACGAAGGTTGGTATCCATTGGAAATTTTGTATATTTGTAATCAACAACAAAACCTTTTAAATAGCTGTAAATGTTAAAAACAAAATGCAAAATTATTTTATCATTCATTATTTTGAATAAAATATTTTCACCTCTTTATAATAAGTATACAATATTACTATTATTTTATATATTTTTATATATAAGCTTTATAGCTTCAAAATTTTTATATAAGTTTCTTTATTATATTATAACTTGTTTATTGCAATTCACAATTGTAATCCATGAAGCTTACAATCAGCTGCAGAAAAAGTGCTTCTGATGCGAGATCCTGAAGTTCGTTCTGCGTTGAGGTACATGTAAATAGTAACAATCTGTCGGCAGTTTGCTCTGTTATTGGCCGTATTGGCTTTTGCATCGGTTCAAAGTGGATTGGCAGGGCATGCTCACAGTTTCGCGTACTTTCACGGACCGGTCGAAGGATCCGTACGCGAAATGGTTATCCACGATAAGCATGATCATCAGCATGTAAACTACATCGCGTATCCCAAGTACGAATTCGCATACGGAGTCGAGGATCATCACACTGGCGATTATCACGGACAGAAAGAGTACAAAGATGGTAAGCTAAATTCCTGATATCACGATAATTCAGGTACATAAAATTGCAAATAGCAAAACATTTATGAACGCAGCATTCAAAGACAGTTAATTATAAATATGTAAAGTTATTTGTGCACAATTTCTAAGCAAAGCGATTATTTAAATTGTAACAAAAATTGTTATATTTACATTACACATATGTACAATTTCTTCTATCAAAGGAAATGTAAATGCTATTGTAATTAAAACTTATTGTTTTATTTGCAATTTATCATTATATTTCTAATTGAGTTGTTTAACGATTGAATTTCGTAAATTATTCAGCATCAAATCTATTAAAATTTATGTAATCATGCAAAGAGTTGTTGAATTTTTTACGATGTTTGTGCAACAACGTAGAAAATGCTGTGGTCTAAATATTATTGAAAGTTTCTGAAAAATTTCGATAAAAGTTTGTCTGGCGGATCTTCACGAGGATAGATATTCGAAAGCGCAACTCTGAATCGCAATAAGCCGGGCGCAGAGCTGCGCGTTTAAACTTATTGACACAGTGTTTTTTTTCTCGCCACTCACGTTTTCTTTTATTTTTACATAACCGTGATGGTAGTTAAAGATTATAAATGACGGGGTCAGATTACACGCCGGTACGCTCCGGTGCGCTCTACTTTAATTAAACATCGCGCGGTCATATTGACGTAATATAAGATATGTAGGCGACACATGCATTATGGTAATATCGATAACACATCCACGTATCTAATTTTGTACAATTAATGTATATATTTGCAAACGATTGCCATAACATTCATCACTGGTTATTGCACGAGTGGCTTTTCGTTCGTAGGAAATAAAAAGTTGGTCGGTGAATACACCGTCAAGGAACCGGGCGGCAACACCAGGATCGTGTCCTACCACGTTGATCCGCACGGAGGATTTTTTGCTCACATCCACAATTCGGGCGGCAATAACCATCATGGTGGTACATACGGCGGTTACGAGCACCACTAAAAGCATCAAGAAACCTAAGCGTGATTTACGACGATAAAATGCTTATCCTAGGTTATTTCTCGTTTCACGTTATAATTGTTGAATAAATATTTGTTGTTCTCAAATTCACCATGCATTTCATTTCAATTTATATTAACACGTAAAATTTTAAAAACACACAGTGAATAATTTGTAGCAAAAAATTTTTAATTATTAATATTATATATGTTATATAATAATGATTACAACTCGTTCTAATTTTTCATTGTTTTGTGATTCCAATTAAAGACGAGTCCATTGCATTAATTGCAATTTTTTAATTAAAATCAGAATAGTTTTTTCTTAAGTTAAGAAAATTTAATTAATATGGGAAAAAATTCATGGGAAAAAGAAACAACATTACAATCATATATATAAAAAGATGAAATGGTCATTAATAATTACTCCTAGAAATTTAGATAAAAGAAATTAAGCTCAAAAAATTTATAATTTCTATTGTAAGATTCAAGCTAGAATTTTATTATTATTTATTTATTATTTTATAAGTCTCGTGTTGTGCGAAAAATATTTAAATCTGAACTATACACATATATGCAAAATTTAAAATGTACTTTTAAATCGACATATAAAATTAAAATTATTTTTTTAAAATAATACAAGCATATCTAAAATAAGTTTTATTACATATATATTTTAGACTTAGTAGCGCTATTTCGGTTATGTAATCAAAAGCTATTACTTATAGAATAGCAACGGCAATTCAGAAGTGTAGGCAGAACAAATAAATGGACAGATTGCGTGTATATAGGTCTAACTCAATGAGAAAGCGAGGTGTTCTAAGCTTCGGCGAACATATTGGGTCACGTATTGGGACCGGCGCGATCGCTATTGCGCGAATGGACTAGCAGAAATTGAATTGCACTTGCGGAAGCTATACGTGCCATTTTGAATAGCATATAATTCACTATTATCGCATTATATAACAATACGGACAGTTTAAATAATTCAAAATCTGACTGTTCATAACTGCTGACTTGAATCGTGGTTTCACGTCTCAAAAGATATTTCATTATTTGCAAACTAGCAAATATTTAAGAAAAGAATTCCGTGAATGAAAACACACAACGTCATATATCACCCTCCTCTCCACACACGCACAAACACAATTAGTATCATATTTTAATTCGTACGTTTAATACAAAACATTTTTGATACAAGATTATTTGCTAATTTCCTAATTGATGTATTTTTTTATAAATATTCCATAATTATTTTTAGCATTTTGCTTAGCTCATTGTCAGACTTTACATTAAAAAGACTAACTCTTCTTTGTGATAATATTCAGAAGAACGGCTAATTTTTGATATTTCAAAGATAGTTTGAAAGAAAATCGATTTCAGGATAATGAGTTTCTAAATGGTTAATGGAATAAATATTTATGCATGATGTAGGCATATCTAAGATGCAATTTTAGTAAAGCTTTGCTTATAAAAGGATGAAAATTAAGATTCTGTCCTTTGAGTCAGAGAAGATGCTACATTCAAAAAGAGAGCGCCATTTCCTTGAGAACGAGTTTAAATGAGAAAGAGCTATTAGGGGAAGCTGTTTGGCATCAGACAACATATTAATTTTTCAAGGCGCATCCGAGATGCGAATGAAAATTAACTCAGTGCATGCGCTATCGACTTTCAGAAGCGAGTATTTCCTACCGCGTGCATAAATACGTACAATACGACTCCGTGCGAAATAAGCCAATGCCTTACAAATTCTTTTGAGAACGTGGTTAGGCTGATTATTCTGCGCGAGGCAGAGAACTCGAAAGAATAAATCACGGCGAGAGCACGGCGTGCTCGGGCACCGTATATTACGCGAATAATCACGATTGATCATCGCGGGGCGGAAGAAAACTGCGGGAGATGATATATGAACGGCGAAACGTACGGCGCGCACGTGGTTTCAATGATTCCATTTACGTGAACGATAATACGCCCGGTCTCTCCCCGTATCGAGATTCCCTCGCTCTTCCTTCTTCCTTCTTCCTTTTTTATTTTTCCTTTTTTTTTTTTACACGATTCACTGCTACGCGCTTCGGACCGCGCGGTTACGAAAGAGCTGCGAGTTTTCTGGTTTCCCTTGCTCACAGAAGTGACAAATGAAAATTCGCGTGGTGAATTTTCCTCCACCTTCGCCGCAGAAAAATAAATAGACAATCCCGAAATTACTTCTTCTCCAACTTCACGAGAAGGGTAATTTTATCGGGCTGTGTTATTTCGGTCACCACCGCCTCTTTTCCTTCCCTTCCTATTTGTTGATTGAATGCCTTGATCATCTTAAATCAATCCACAGGACTGGGTTATATTGTCTGTGTAAAGTTTTGCAAATCCGAAAGAAATGAAAGCAATGTTAGCGGTTATTACGCAAGAAGAAACACTTGAGCCCAACGATTTTAAAGATACATCATGTAATATCTTTTTTCTTAATTAAATATCATGTTTCATAATCTACGTATCTAGTTTTTTTATTTAATTACGATGTAATTACGATGTAATTACGATGTTGTCATAAAATAAAAAAATAATAGATTACAGATGATAAAAAAAGCTTTGACGAAAATAAATAAACCGACTTAAAACACGAAAAAGAAATAATAATTTTTATTTTTCTTTGCACACAAAAAACTTCTTGAAACAATCCAAAAATTTTTAATATTCATTTTTCAGTAAATGCCAAATTTGTTAAAAATATTCCTACAAATAGGTGATTTAATTAAAAACAATTGAATTAAATTAATTTATAATATAATATATAAAGAGCTTAATAAGTACTTAAGAAGCACAATAATAAAAAATATAAAAGAAGACATAAAATATCATTAATTAATTAAGGTTATTTCATTAAGATTTAAAAAATCTTAAACCTTCAAGAAGTGTTCAAGCATGACACATACGTTTATAAAGGTAATTTTTGTTTATAAAATATTTAATTCGGCCCTGAATACAGACCATTTTGTCAGGTGTAGATACATTCAGACAATGGCGAAAGGAAAATGGGAGCGGGTTGTCGAAAACAGCCGGTGGCAATAATACGAGATGGACGTGATAGGGTGCGATCGATTTTCTCGAGGGAGCGGACTCCTTATTATTCCGACTGAGGCCGAGGCGTTCCCAAGGAAGCGTTGTTATTCGATTCTGGCCGGTATGGCTCATTCTCTCGAATCCGCAGCCGCCGCAGCCACCTCTTTCGCTCCTTATTTCCTTAGCCTATTTTGTGGCCGTAAAAATCCAATTCATCCCGGAACGCTGGACAGGAATAAGAGTATTCTGAAAACGTCGTCGTCGTGCACATTCGTACGGCATAACAAACCACGCGCTGAATTGAGTTATCCCGAAAGAAATCTGGCGATCGAAAATCGTTGCTGTCAAAAGATATTCGGCCAGTTCACCATACGACTATAAATCCCTACAAAGTGTATGGTAAATCATGTCACAATCGGCGAAAAAGCGCTTTCTCGTAAAAGCAACTTATAAAATCACAAGATAAATTTTCTTTATTGACTCGTAAGGAAAATTTTCGAAAAAATATAATATTAAACGTAAAGTGACTATTTAAATATCTTTTTTTGTAAAAGAATCTTATATAATAGAAAAAATTAGATTTTTCAAATTTGCATATTAAACATCATAAAAATTTGCATATTGGTTTGCCTGCATTTCTTTTAATAAATTCCAATCTGTCTGAGTCTGTCTTATTATAGATGCAAGAGAGAGCCATTATCGCGTTTCAAAATCATTGTCATCCAGATCCTCAGGTTTACCGCCCGGGGGAAGGGGGGGGAGAGTTTCACGGTTCGTCGACTTAAAGTGCCCTCACAAAAAGACCATTATAAATTCCATTAATACTTGCCGGGCATTCGGGCCAAGCCGGGAGTTTAATTATCTCGTGGGCAACCTCCTCTATCTGCGCGCCGCTAAGTAAAGGGGGACGGTACGCTGAATTAAGTAAGACTCGATAAAACGATCGTCAAGAATTAACAGGTCAGCCAGCGTTCCCTCGATAGAGGTTACTTTTCAATTTACGACATATATTACCGCAGCTTTTTCGGTACCGCCGTACATTGAATTAACTGCGGGTAATAAATCAGACACTATTCTTTAGTTTCCAAAGAGAAGATTTAGGATCATCAGCGTTTGATCTTTACAGTGTTAGAATCGATGCTTGATGATAGCAATTACTCTAATTAACAATTGACTATAGATTAATGATCACATTCCAAGCAACTTTTAATTTCTTTTTCTATGCTCTTCAATTTTTATATCATTTATGCATTATTTAATCTCTTTTAATGTTAATATTATTATGTATAAATTTTACAGAATAAGTTGTAATATTGGATAAATTTAATATAATACTGAAATAATACTGAAATGGTAAATATAAAAATTTAATTATTATTACAAATGTCAAGCATGCCAATTGGCATAAATGGACGAAAAAATAATAATGCTGAAAATAAAGAATGAGAAGAAACTCTCGAAACTCTCTCTTGCCAGAAGTTCTTGAAAGTGCTTCCTATTTTTTAATCCAAAGAGTTTACCTTTCAAACGATATAAACACAAAGTTTAAGAAAGACAGAGAAAGAGAGGAAGAAAGCACTACGCAAATATGTTTATAAAGTAAGAGTTCTTTTTGTTTTACAACAGCGCAGTAGCGCCTCGCGAAGTAATGATTTTCTTCCGCCGTAGATATAGTTTATTTTCTCAGGATGCAGCCTGATCAGAACAGAAGTTACGAACTACTTCATTGTAAAGTTTCCGGCTAGGATAACGATCGGTTAGTAACGCCAGGACTCCCTTTTATTACAGGATTTATAACGAAAAGTAGGATGTTACGTCAGCGAAAATGCAAGGACAAAAAGCTTCATTTTCTATCGGATCATATTTTGCACATTTTCGTTCAAACATGATCTTATTTTGATGAAATTGATATTTTTAGTGAAATTTTATCCAGAATATAAATCCAGC